GATGTTAGGAAAGAAGTAAAGAGAGAAGAACAGATAGGGAGATAGCTAAGGCTGATATGTATTTACCACAAGTTGTGTAGGGTATGAAAATATTATCCCACGTAATTTTTGTTTAATATTTAAATTACTGCTTAACGGGTGCTATGAGTATCCAAAGCATTAAGGAATTTTCTTAGTTATTGGTTTAGAAAATGAAAAGGCAATAAAGCAGCTTAAGTTAATTGTTTATTAGAAAGAGTAAACAAAATAAAATGCATTTTCTTTTTTTCGTTCTGCATTAACATACACACAACAGCACAACATTTAATTATTTAAATATTGAATGTAATCTTTACACGATAATTGAAACTCCATAAACGCCATAGCTGTCAAATCATTACAATAACGAACCGTTATGCATGCCCGCTACATAAACGAACTGATATCCATTAACGTCTACCATGTACACGATCGTGTATGTATTATGATTACGCGTATTTTAGGCAGCTTTTAATTCTTAAGAAAAAAAAATTAAAAATTTACAAAAAAAAGCAAGAAAAAGATAAATAAAAATATTGACAATAAAGATATGTTTCGCTCAATAGCAGTCTTTTATCTGAAAGCAATAACAAAAAAAAAAAAAAAAAAAAAAAAAAAGCATCCAGTTGCTGTTATGCGTTTATGTACAAAACTAGTTCTGCATCGGTAAGTGCGTGCGTGCGTGCGTGCGTTTGCGCCTGCAACCAAATCAAAAATCACTAGATTTAATAGCAACACCGCCATATAACAACCTCCATGCCACAAAGCCAATCACAAAGTCTCGTTTGGAAGTTTTTAAAATGTTGTCGCTGTTGTTAATATTGTTGTCGTTGTTGTTGTTGTTGTTGTTGTTATTGCTATTATTATTATTATTATTATTATTATTGAATGCGATTTCGAATGCGAATGAACGCATAAATCTGTTGTTTACCAGTTGCAAGAGAGCAACGAGACATTTGGTTAATATGCGTAGCAATTTATTTTGCTTTTCGGTGATACTTGAATATTTTTGTTGTTGTTGTTTTTTTTTTTTTTTTCTTTTTTTTTGCTCAAATATATAAACAATTGCTTTTAGTATTATTTTTGTATTGTTCTTATTGTTTGCTTCTCCTTTCAGTTGTCATTGTTCAACGTGTGTATTTTAAATACGCGTCAATTGTGTTTCATTTTTTTTTTTTTTACACTCGGACAATTTGCCTAATCATGGCCCTGCTAACCTCGTGTCTGCACGTTCACATTCTGTGCGTCTATGTATCTGCTTTAAGACGTGTTTAATGTTTGGAAAAGTTGTTTATATGTAAATGGGTTTTTTTTTTTTTTTTGTTCGCATTGTGCTCGAGTTCTTTCAAATGCTATTTGTTCGAGCAAGATCATTATCTAGCCATTGAGACGTAATTTATTGTAAATGCTTTCATATGAGTAACAATTTGTGTGTGTTTGGCTGTGTGTGTGTGTGTGTGTTTGTGTTCGTTTATATATATATATGAACGTTTATTTGCAATTGTCTCAATGTCAAATTTTGTGCGTCTGTTTGCTAAGTAGATTCTCTCCCATTTCCATTATGCTTTCTCATGCAATTAAAGCATAATTTATTTAACTTGATTATAGAAAATTTTAATCTATTTTCTATTTCAAAATTTCCATAGATAAAGGAAAAAATTGCTTTCAAAATTTCTATAAATAACGACAAAATTGCTTTTATCTCAATAATCTTGATTAAGGTTCAATTGTTCAAAAATTACTAACAAAGACACAAATAACATTCAATAATGTCGTAGGATAATATAAAGACGTGGGATGACTGCCGACGAATCTACATGATTTTTAAAAAGTACCAAACATCGGATAACTTCATAACATTGTTATATTGACGCTTTATGCGGATTTCAGATTTTCCCATCCATCCATTGTTGTTTTACGCCATTTGATGGTTCTTGGAATGCTTACAAAGACATATTCCTCCTACTACAATTAACTATGGGCCCAAGCAAATAGCCACGGCCAATAGGAAGCTGCTCTTAAGATTGATGGGAAAATTTCTCTGTGGCTTTTACTATACATGGTTTATAAAAGAACTTCTTGTTAGATGCCACATTTTTTTTTTTGAATTATCATTATAACCAATCACTTAGGAAATGATTCCTGTACCTGTAATGTGGTAACAGTCAGTAATAAATGAGGAAAGAGAAAGAGATAGGCAGATGATCACAGGCAACTGGATATTTGCCCAATCAGTAAATTGTCTCTATCGACTAAGTTCTTATGCATCAAAATTTGAATCCGCGAATCCTGTTTTGCTACTCACTCTTCTTACTTACTCGGCTGGTCTTGCGAAGATGACCTACGACCGCGTCAAAGCAAAAAACGTGCAGATGCGCGTAGAGATAACTAGATCCAACTTAAGCTATTTACACAGGCAGACAGCCAGACAAAGAAAAAAACATGGCCACCAAATTTAATAAAAGAGAAAATGATAAAGCAGAAGAAGAAGTGCAATGACGGAATATTAATAACAAAAAGCTTTCGTGCAGGGCGAAATCCATTCCATGACACAACTCAAGAAAAGTTTTATTTTGGCAAACCCTCGGATGGATTTTGTATGTGTTCTGAAAATTTAGTAAATCCAGTATGGACACCAGTGCTAGATTAGCATAAATTCCGAAGAAATGTCAAAGAAGTTACGCGATTATTCGAGTATACGAGTTCGAATAATTATTTTGTACAAGAAGAAGTCTTTCGCTCACACATATTCTACACACATTCTGCTTAGGGTATATAAGACTTTCTTTTAATTGCTGAATGAATGCCTTATAGAAATAATAATATTTCTAATTGTTTTTCGTTTATCGCATTCATCGCGAAACTTTAATATATTCTCTGTCCTATTCGACATGTTTAGCATTCCATTTTCTCTAATGCTTTAATAGCGAAGAAGAAGCCTCTGCCCACCGTTTATAGATATCGTTTACTGATTGATACTCGTGTTCACATAAATTACAATTTATAGCCTTAAAGGCAGTCATGTTCAAATTGGTCGCGTAATAACCCACACATGCAAATACATGAGTAAATAGAATATGGGCAGTAACAGCAATAAGTATTCATTGCTGATGTTTGTAGTGGAAAACTATACCTTAAGCAATATTCAAAAGTATGAAGAATGTGTTTATTAAACAAATTGAATACTTTTTTTTTTTTTTTGCCTCTTTGTCTAAATTAAACTAAGCAACAACAAACACGCGAAAAACAATGAAATCACACTTAATAACCGACTGAATAATATATGAAAAAATATGCAATAGATGCAATGAAATAAGTCCGAGAACTCTATTCGAATCTTAGACACCCTTAGATACTTAAACTTGAAAAACTCCTTTTTCAATAGGTCGCTAAAAGACGATTTTATTCTTGACCGATATAGACTAAACATTGCTTGTGTCAACAGGCCGACCGTGTACGGTTTTATTCCGGACTAAGTTAGACAGGAGCGTTTCACCTAATTTTATAGGGATATCTTCTGTAAGGAATAGGAAGGCAAGAAAAATATTTGGTTCCTGTGTGTATGCATGGGCTTTTTGCCAAGGGAGCTAGGAGGCAGAAATCTTCAAAGATACTATTAGTCCGTCTCTTTCATGGCGCCTATGTACTATATCTATCCCCCCACACACACACTGACTTCTTCTACCATTCACCCCCACGGGACAACCGCTATGTATTTCATTGCGGTATCTTGTTATTATTAGTTCGCTTCTTTTGGTGGGGCGCTGTCTTTCTATGGGCCTCAGTCCACAGAGAACCTTCGTTATAAAACATCTACAATGCTCCAAACCTCGACACTGCCAATTATGTTAACAAGTAGGTCACTCGGCCTACTTCGAGACTGTCCTCCCTCGAACCTGGTGCAGCGAATTGTTGTGCGTTCCGCATCGTCCTCTACATACAGCTCGGCCATATCGATGAGTTGTTCTGTAAGAATCTGGCGGTTACTGCGGGAAGCAACCAGAGCCGTTGGGATAATAATTTTTTGATGTTTTCTTTCAATTCACTTCTTTCAATCATATATATTTGGGATAAAGTCGAACATCCGCTTGCTTTTTGTCGCGTGCTTTCAGTTTTTAGCATTTTCAAGGGTGTTTGCAAGCGTATGCCCATTCCCACATGCTGAAAGGCTTTACACTCAACAGATAGATAGACATATTTAAGAATTTCAGATCGAGATTCTTCTTAGCCTATATCCGCCCAGCTTGCATAGACACATAAAGTTCCCGTACTCTATATACCCATTCTAGTCCAGTCTTTGAGGACACACAATCTTAGAGAAATGTGTAGTATGCATTATTTTTTTTTTTTTTATTTCATTGTGCTTATCAGGTCAATTAATGGTATCATGAAGCATTCAGAGGATTTTTGGTAAATAGTTGAGAAATATTTTTTTTCGTTTACATTATTCCATTTTTTATGATGGATTGCTTCCCAAGCTTCAAGTTTCTTGATTTATGATCCTGAAATATATGTCTGTCTGTAGTACATTTAATATGACGAAAATATTTTACCTCGATTTACTTAGTGACGAGTGGAAAAATCAGAGCAACAATCGTGACTTTTGAATTAAAACGAATTTTTAATATTCATTAAGAGCAAAGCTTAGTGAAAATATTCGTTATATATATATATATATATAATTATATGATAATTATATGGAAATTATAAAAAAATTAAAAAAAAAAATTGAAAATAGTAACAAAAGAAAAGATGAGTAATGAGCAATGGAACAAAGCTTTAACTTTATATAATATAATGAACGAAATAGCCTTTGGTTTTTTTTTTTTAATTTTTCAATGACACGCCCATTAAATGATCTTTAATTAATCAAAAAACGTTGCAGTCTTGAATATTATTGTTGCTCAACGTTATTCAATTCAATTGAAATTAATTTTCATTTTATTAATTTTCATTTCATTTATTCATTTCCGTATGTGTAGCTCAAGAAATTCTAAGATGCTGGCGTTGTTCGACTGACGTCTCCAATGGTGAATTTTGTAACGATCCTTTCAATCCGAATTCGATATCAGATCAACAGCGCTATTGGAGTTATGTTAATTGCACTTATTCAGCGGGCGTGAAATCCGTGAATGCGCGACCAGTGTGTAAAAAATTAGTACAAGAAGGTAAGTGCAAGTTAATGTTTGTAATAAAGAAATATTTGAAGGCACATATGTAAAATCTCCCTATATACCGCTATTATCGTTATTGTTTCAAAGTTTTGTAATCAAAAAATCGAATCACATCGTAGGTTAATTATCTGGCAATATAATTGTTATGGGTGCGGCAGACTCGCCCTGAAATTAATTATTTGTCAGCATACACATGTAGATATATATGTGAAGACTTCAATGTACTTGCAAAAAGTTTTTGCTTAATAATTATTGCGAATTTGAATAAATTTTTCATATAACTACTTTGATGTCCTCAAATTATTGTTTAGAGAACTTTCGTAAAAAGCGTGTTATCAGCTTTGCCTGAGAGGGCATGACATTGACATAAATTTATCTTCTCACTTCCAAAATTCGAAAATGTGTGTGTATAGGAAACCCGGCATCAGTTTTAAATCTAAAATGTATAGGAAACATTGATGCTTTTGTAAAAATATTGACTGAGACAAATTCTTGCTAACATATTTGATGATGAAATTATGTACCAGCGAGTAAACCCACTACAGTGGACTGCGGTCCGTTATTAAATATCTTAAGCCACTTTGCTATCAAAATTAGGCAGTAATCGGGCAGTGGTCGCCAAAGTTGTCCGAACCAAACTATTTTCAACACCGTTCGTCGTTAGAAGAAAACACGTCATTGCACCAAATTTCATCGAAATAACTCAAAAATTGTTACATGTAGGTTGAACAAAAGGCATACAGACGGACGCACAAGTCGATTTAGAAAATGATTCCGAACCGATACGTATAGTGAACAATGGACCTATCTAATGTTTTTCTGGGTTTAGGGTATAAAAATGCGCTTAGATTGCATAATTGTCCACTTTCTTCAGCTGAACGCGGTCCATAGTACTTCATAAGCCTGATGGCGTTGCGATTATAATTCTTACGCCTACCTTGTTGAAACTTATAAGTCGGGGTTTCCTAAGTTTGTTCTCTCGATGAACATAAGAATATTCTTATTTTACATTCATAGTGTGTACGATTAACAGTCTGAGCCGATGGCCGGAGATTTGCATAAAAAGGTTTAATTATTTTTCGCTCAGTCTAGAAAAATAAATTCCCATGAGCAGTAGTCATGGAAAGGAGTTATTGTCTTCATGTACGTATGCAATAGTCTTAAGTATTCTTGTTGTCTGACATTATTCTTTTTATGCGCTTATCACGATTTGAAAGCATTTGAATATCCATGCAACAATATTTTTTCTTAAAAATCATCGATTTTATCATGCAGTTACGTCAGATACCCTAAAGTTTCATCTCAAGTGATTATGTCGACAAACCATGAAATCTTAACCGTAGGAGAATCGTGAGCTTAGTTCTTCGCAAAGCTGACGGACTTAACGCCATCGGACATGTTGAGCGCAAAAGATCTCACTTCAAGATGGACAAACCAATTAATTAATTTATTACAGTTAATCTACCGAAGGACGAAGTCAACATGTAATACATATGCAGACGTGTGCGGCCTAACAAGTTACTTGCAAAGCGCGGTTTCGATGCAGCACAGTACAAAATTGGCAAAGATTATAGCTTGGTTGCAATGCAATTCAATTTCAAAGGATCGACTGTGTTGTTCTCAATTGATCTTTGCTTTTATTTTTATTTCATCGTCAGTAAGATGAGCTTCAACAGGCTTAGATACAATATTTATATAGATTGGACTGATTTGCATTATTTCAAGGTGCCTTGTAATACGGTCTTATTACAACACGGTGTCCATTTTTGTGATTTACGTTACGTCTGAGTTTAAATTGTCTTATTCAATATTAAACCTCAGTTTAAATAAAAATTTAAAAAAGTTTCATATAACACGGTCTTGATACAATGCAGTACAAATTAACCGTACTATGCGGGGGATGCCTGTATGTGAAGTGTATGTTATCTAAGCTTTTCTTACATAAAATAAAAACCCGCTGCTTAGATAACTAATTGTTGATATTTCTTGAATATATTAATAATGAAATATATATATGTATATATATATAAATTTTAAATAATTCAAAAAAAAAATAAATAAATCGTTGTTTTTATCAATTAAACCTATTTGCACCAATTTTCCATAAATGGATGAAATGACAGCAACAAGCCGTGCGTCGATGCGTGCAATTAATGATTATGAGCGCAAACCTAAATTTGTTTCTCTCAAATTCTTGGTTAATTAAATTAAAATTGTTTTTTGTCGAAGTAGAAGTTGATTTAAATTTTTATTTACAAACGTATACTATATGCTGGACACGTTTATCGATAACCATGTAAAAAAAATATGAACATAAATTTACGAAAATCGTAAATAAAATAACAATAAAAAAAAAGCCAAAACCATAATAAGCTGTAAAAACGCGATAAAAAAAAATTTGGAATCCAAATGTATCTACACCACCATCAGCATTAGAAAAAAAATCCAAATGAAAAATTACATTCGCTTTGAAGCGAATTTTGGATACCTATACTATAAGAAGCGATTATATTGAAGTGATTATCATACAAAAACATTTTGTGAATAAAATCGAAGCGTGGAGTTCAACTTTTTCCATAAAACGACTCTAGATCCATTGTAAAGTTTTGTTATACGGATGCTTGCCTGAGTAGTCAGATAGCGAAGAACCCCAACTACCACGGTGGTGTTCGCGCGATCAAATCTCATGTACAATGGAGGTTTCTTTGGTCGTAGTTAGTTTCCTGTCAATACCTGTTAGGTAGACACCCACTATTCTTCCTACACTTACTAGTTCTTGCCATTTCCTCTCTTTCTTCTGCCAGCCACCGTGTTAGGGTAATAGGGGGTCCCCTGAGAGGTTAGTCATATTAAAGAAAGGAAAAAGAATAAAATAATGATAGGTCTACTGGAAAGCTCTGTTCGCTTTTAGAATACAAGAAAATTTAACTTGTCGAATGTGGTCTGAAAAGATATATTCAGTCAAGTCTTTTCGCAATCTTCCATGTTACCCAAAAGGGATTTTATTGTAACTTGATCAAAGATGATCGCCTGGAACGTGCCTTCATTTCAATAAAAGACAGTTGAGATCATATACGGTTAGCATTTTAGTGTACAGTGCAATGATAATAAAGCCCGAATGTTTATTTGATAACATGTTACTCAATAAGTTCGTAGGATAATGTAAACAGTGTGTGCCGGCTCTATTGACAGATCCTTATTACTTTTAGGTAAAAATGCCTTAGAATTCACATAACATTATTTATAAAGAATCTATAATTGGTGCTGAAAAGTCTTTTACAGAACCAAGAAATGATGATCAAAACTTTTAAGGATTTTGTCCGTTTTTTTGCTTCATGCATAGGCATACAGATGGAGAGATAGACGCAAAAGCCCACAGATAAAAGTAATATAATAGTTATACGATACCAACACAAAGGCAAATTTAGTATACCGCTATAGTTTTGTGATGCGCAACAAAAAAAAACAGTAAAAAAGAGAGAATAGTTGCTTTATCTAGTTATGACCATAAATTGTAACCGGCATAAACCAAAATGACATAAAATTATGGTTATGCTCGCCAGCAGTTGCAGGTTTGCTGTTAAGGCTACCGCGTACGCGTACGTACGCACTTTTCTGTCTATGCATTGACGAGCAACAATAAAACTAGTATTTTAGTTTTTTTTTCATATCGTATCGTAATCATATCTCTGCTAAAATCCACAATATAAAGATTATTCACTCATTCTTTGATTCATTCATTGCGTCTATATATATATATATATATATGTATATATAATTGCCGGCCATAACTATGCTTTGCGCTCCTGCTTAACACACGTACAATATGACTGACAAGCAGACGAAGAAATACACGCAGAGAGACGACATAAGCAGACTTAATCAATCTACTCAATACTAGTTGTGTTGATTATTATTAAGTGTAAGCATTCAAGCTAAACAATTTATAGTTACGTTGAGTTTGCCTGAATGCATGTGTGCGTGTGTGTGCGTGTGTGTGTGTGTATGTGTGTATGTTTGCTATTATAATAATGTTGCTTTAACTTCAACAGCACAATAAGTAGCAACAATCTTAACAACCTGCTTGGCATCTATTTCTGAAAAAAAAACTAATTAATTTAACAGTTAAGTTTGCTAAAACTAAATGAAAATCTAAAAAAAAAAAAAAAAGCAAAAAATTAGCAAAAAAAAAAAGCAATGCAATGCAACATGAATGTCTGACTGCCTTTCGTCAAAAATGTCACGAGAAAAACTTTTTTTAATGTTTTTATTAGAAAAAAATTTAAGACCGTAGAATTGCAACAACTTAATTAATTCCTTTTTGCTCTACAATTCGTTTTAATTAATAATTTAAGAAAATAAATAAAAAAAAAATAAAAAAATATTAACGAAATAGAAAAATATTTTCCCAATTGGTTCCACTGCTGTTGCTACAGTCGAATGGCAGCTTTTAATAAAATATGTCGCTTACAATTTGTTGCTTTAATTGTAATTGTTGCAATTATTCAGTTTTCAGTTTGCAATTTTTTTTTGCTCTTTTTTATTTTTTTTTTATTTCTCTTCTATTTTCCTATTCGTTATTCGTCAAGACAATTTATCTTACGCTTATCACTTGGGAAAATAATGTGAGGTAATCTTAAAGATACCGAGCCCTTAGGAAGTCAATAGTTATACAATTTGTGTTTTTTTTTTTTTATTTTTATATGACCAATCATTCAGGGAATGTCCGCTCTACATGTGACGATCATATTCAGAGAGATTGGGGCGCAGTCTAGTATGTGTGTTATATACTTGGCTACGCGGCAGCTCAATTGATTTCTTATCATTATTTGAATAGCTAAGCCTATCTTTATATTCTTAGTGTCAATATTTCCTGGACCTTATATTACTTATTTGATATGAGAAGGCTTGGTATAAGAATTGTCCACACTTTCGTTATGTTTGGAGGTAACGCAGCCCTATAATGATCAATATATTCCGACTTGATGCAGACA